ATATGCACTAGAACGCATGTTTGCACCTGCACAGCGTGCATGCCTACCTACCTCCTACTTACCTACCTGCGTACCTACCTACCTACCTACCTACCTACCTGCCTACCTGCCTACCTGCCTACCTGCCTACATACATTCATACATACGTACGTACGTACGTACGTACGTACATACACACATACATACCCATGTTCGGGTGCAGGTAAAGAACGTGAAGTGCAGCGGCTTTAGAGCCATGGCCTTGCAGATGTAGTCTGAGGCTGGGAGTGGAGACCTACAGGCTCTCACATCCGCTCAAGAGGACCGAGGATGAGGCATCGAAGAGGGAGGTATGCACGAAGAAGGCTGCCAAACCACTCTATGCTTGCTGGCATGCGTCGGTGCACGTCCAGACCTCGGCCCCAATCGGAAAGTCAGAGCCGAAACGGTAGACCCTAGAATGCTCTAAACTGAAAAAACCCTGACCAGGTCTCAGTGGAGGTGTCTTTCGACTTCACCACGGCCTTTGAGGCACAGTCGGCTCGCTGCTGTTGCTGCTGCTGTCTTGTGGTCCTTAGAGTTTGGCACACCTGTTGCATGGGGGAAAGCGGCAAGTGGCATGGGATGGGGGGAGGCAGGGGGTGTATCACCATAAGTAGACATGCACTACAAAGCCGTTGCTTCTGCTGCTTTCGGTTACGGGTCATTTTCGGTCCCGTCCTATCTGCAGGAGACTCTCTGGAACAGCATGCAGATCGAGCATCTGGTGGCTTGCAGGCCCGTGTCCTGATGCGTGCTGGTATCGTGTCTGGGGTTCCATTGCTGGGGGTCTTCCAGAACACGACTCGGCCATCCATGGTCATCATTGTGTTCATTGTGTAACCTTTGTTTGGCACACACAGGGCATGGCATTTGTTGGAATCTTCAGTTGTACCTCGGCCGCTATGGCTGAGGCTCTCACTCATGCCTCTGCCGGAAGCTCAGCAGAGCTGTGATGTTACAAATCAGGGTTCCGTCTCGTGCCTTGGAAACCGAGCTGAGTAGACTTCATGTTATGTTACATATACATAACATACTATATACATATATATATATATACACATACATATATATATATATACACATATATATATATACATATACATATATACACATATATGTACATATATATATACACATACACACATGCACAGATATCTTGTATTTGGAAGCCCGCCGTCTAGCTGAGGTACCAGCCACGAGGGGCCAGCTGGCAACAGGCCAGTCCCCACTCTTCGCCCCAAAATTCTTGGACCCACCCACAGCCCAGCAACCAAACCCCAAGCCGAAATGCCCAAAGACCCACAGCCGGAAGCTCGAAATGCCCTATAACCCTAAACTTTGCAGGCCCATGGCATTTCCCTACACCCGATTTTCCGCTCAGGTGGTGACGACGCCTGTGAAGTTTCTGAAGCCACTCCCCTGGCTCGGAGGATTCGGATCGAGGGCCTACTCTGAGGCTTATGGGTCGGGTTTAGGGTTTGAGGTGGTTTGAGGTTTAGGGCAGCTGTCGTCAGGATTAGTTCTATTCCTATCTTAGCTACTGGTGGAGCTGTGATACTTCCCCATGCAGGTTTGAGCAGGTTTGGGGTTTGGTGTGCAGGATATGGGTTTGAGAGAGCTTTTTGGCGCTGAGGGTGCACCGGCAGCTGCAGTTCAGCAGCAGCATGGGTAACATGCCAGACTGTCGGTTGCTAGTTAGTAATACTTGTAGGGGAATGACCGCAACTCGAAAGTAGTCGCAACGATAGACATGGCTGTTTGATTTGCCAATAGCAATTAGCACCGGCAGCATGAGTAGCATTCGTCACATGAATACTTATAACTTAGGACGCCAATCCGCACATGAACTAGACATGTGAAAGCCATTGCCTTCCTGGAAAAAAGCACAAAGGAAAGGCTGCAGGAGTGGATGAGAGTAGTAGATCAGATAGGCCATTAGCCGGAACGGGGAACCCAAGGCAGTATAACAACCAAAGGCCCAAAAACCCTAAAGCTTCTATCCTATTCGTGAAAGCCGGAAACTCCTTCCTCCTTGCACCCACCCCAGACCCAACACCCCAAACCTCACCCCCAAACCCTATACACCACCCTGAAGCCAAGGGGCCCTACTTACAACAGTCCATCAACCCAAGGCCGGGTCAAGTGGAGTGCTTGGGAGCACACCGCCGCTGGGTGGATCATGGCTTGGCCATGCACAACGATACGCTGCCGGTGGGGCTTTCGGATGTCCAGTGGCATAGAGCTGACATAGGGGTCCTATCGTTGGCAGGATAGGGGGCGATTCGGGTTCTGGTAGCAACTTTACAAGGATTGCAAAGCGGGACAGTATGTATGAATATCCTGAGTCGTGTTTACCTGTAGCTAGAGTTTAACGAATGGTTATCAAGAGCACTATCGGCTCTTCTATCCTAGCTCAAGCCTATCTAAACCAGTCCCTGTCGAGGTTTGCAATTCGGGTGCAGTGCTTGGCTTCGGGGTCCACACGGGCCGATGTATGTCTGTTTTCCCTGCGCTGCTCTCAAAGGCAACTTCAGGCTCAGCATCCGCTGCAGGGAGATGTTTTGAAGCCAGGCTTTTCTTGAGACATCGATTCAAGCTGGATGTATGATAGTCTTCAGGCAGCGTAGCACAGAGCCAGCCCAAAAATCAGTGTCCCTTAAATTCACAAAACTTATTGAGAATCATAAAGAAAACCTACCCGCAACCTCGAGAGCCGGAGTCCAAGCCCCAAAGACCAAAAGCCAGAACCCTAAACTCCAGCAAGGCTTCGGGTTTAGGGTTTCCGGTTTTGGCCTCTGTGGCTTTTGTGCGCTAAGGGTTGAAAGAACAGAGTTTTGGGTTGTTTCGGGCTTGGGTTTGGGGTTCGGGGTTCAGGTTTAGGCTTTCGAGCTGTAGAACATGGCCATGGCGCTCGTGGAGCTAGACCTCAGTGCTTGAGCGAGACCCCCCAAGCCGGCCACTCCCTGAAAGCCTCAAGCCCCAATGTTTAGGGTTTAGGTTACGCTGCCCTGCGCCTCTGCAGGTGGGCACTGGCCACTTCTTCGATAGGCGCTCTCAGCTGGCCATCGATCTCGTTACCCTGTCGGCCGTGCCGCAGGCCAGCGCCCCCAGCCTGGAGATTTCGTTCCAGAGTCGGAAGTTGTCTAGCCTCCAGCATTTCTTGTTGGGCTTCAGTCTTGGCAATGGCGCCCGCAAGAGCCTTAAGCATCCCAGCATCATGTAGAGTAGAATCTCGGCCCTTATGTTAGGAGTCAGCACGACGTGCTCTGCTGTCCAGGTTCTGTCCAACCACGTGTACCTCCCGCTCGTTCGAGAGCCACACGTTGTGCGGGCGGGAGCCTGATCAGGACTGCTTGAAGTTCATGCTGCCCACGCAGTGGGTTTGTGATAGTCCCCTGAACCCAAAAGCCTAAACCCCTAAGCCCCTAAACCCTACACCCTAAACCCTAAGTAAGGCAAACAGAGTCCAAATCAGTTGTAACCCAAGCAACGGGGTTTTCAGCCCGCATGCGGCAAGGAAGGCCTCCCCCGGACAAAAACCCTAAACCCCACTTGACTGTGACTACTAACATTAAATTACGATTACGACTATGATTGATTATGATGTTTCTTATTCTTATCGTGAATATTGCTGCTATTATTACTAGTAGTACTGTCATTACTATCATTTTGATTCGTAGTATTGTTAAACCTGAATCTGAAGCCCTGTCAGTGGCAGGGCACAGAGTGAGCTAAGTCAACCCCCCTCAACCCTAAAGCACCAAACCCTCTACGCTCCAAAGCCCTGGTACCAAAGGCCGCCTCCCTGAAGCCCTGCACCAACTAAACCCCAAACATTTAAGGCGCCGAACCCCAAGCCTCCTAGGCCCTCTGGGCCCTGAAGCCCCCGATCCCCAGAATCCTGCAAGCTTTGCGTCCTGGCCCCTATTGATTCCCGGATTCCCAGGTGGAGCCCCGCTATGTGCAGGTTGGGCCAGGCCCCACCATTTCCATTCTTTTCGGGCTTCTCAGGGTTTTTTGCTTTTACAGTTTTTTGGTATCTTTTTGGGAGATTGGGGGCGTTGGGTAAATGGGCCGGGGCTTAGGGTTGTAGGGACGGGATTCGCCTGCTCGTCGCCTGTTTGACAGCTCCTGGCAGACACTTGAGTCAAGGGCTTTGAGGTGGCAAGGGCTGTGGATTGAGCACGAGCAGGGGGATATTCACAGTGCTTTCCATTGTCGGTATTAGGTATGCTGTTTCTACTCACGGCAGTAGCTGTGGTAGTAGTAGTGGTGCGATGGTGACTGTGTTGGTGGGAGTTTCAACAAGCAGTCTCACTGGGAGTGGTTATGACGGTGGTGGTAACAGTCAGCAGTGGCAATAACAGCAGCCGAGGCTTTGGAATCAATCCTTAGAGCCATAGGCAGTTGTATAAGAAACAAGAAACGAAGAAGCGTGACTCACGACAGGCACGCCGCTGCCGCCTATTCGGGTGACCGGCACCGGTGCGCCCAGAAATTGTAGCAGGGTCATAAGCTTACAGCCTAAGGGCTATACAGGTAGCGACTGCGGACTTGTGTTTTCAGCATCCACGGCTTTATGTTTGTTGCGCCTCAAGCTTCGTTGTTCGTAGGGTCGTGCGGCTCACAGTGCTGAAACGGGGCTTTGGGCTTGACATTGTCATTGTATTGAGGATAAGCAGTCTTCTTGTTGTTGGTGTCAGGTGCGCTGAGACAATGCTCAGTCCTCTTTGCGCATTCCGCCTGACTGGGCAAGTGGGTGTTCGCAGAGGGCAACGTTGCAGGAACTGTTGAACAAACCGTTTCGTCGAGAGGTATCAACACAGCCTTGGACGGCTGCTGCACTGCCTCCGCCGCGGGTGTCTCAGCATGCTTCCACTCTCCATTCCAAGTCCAAGTCATCACTCTTCTTTGCCGCATCATCGTACTCTCAGGATTTCGTTTTCAATGCCGAGTATTCCGCCACACCACTTTCAATGCTACGGCTGTTGATGTGGTTGGCATTGCTATGATTATGAATGCTGTTCTTGTCATTTTGCTGTCGTTCTTGTCATCTCTCTTTGCATTGCTGTTGTTGTTTTTCTGATGTGTTCTTCCCCTCATGAAGCATTCAAGCAAACTAGACCCCAGCTCCTAAACTCCTTGCTACTCTAGACCTTGCAGACTCGTCGGTGTGCTGGAAATCGTTCCTCCAAGGATCAAGCAGCCGGAACCGTCAAGGAGGATCGCCTGAAGGCAAGGTTTCCCTCGGCTTAGGACTTGATGTCCAAGTTTTCACAATAGCCGTGTTGCCGGTGCGCCTTTGTGAATTTTGCGAGGCTTCACTCTTGGATTTCAAAGAAGCTCTCCCAGTGAGTTTCAAGGCTTTGAGTCACACACCCCGAAGTCTTAAGCGCTTCTAAACCCAAAGCCCACTCCCCAAACCTGTAAGGTGCCTAAACTTGAAACCTTGAACGCTCAGAAATTCAATAAGCTTTCATAAGCTCTTATGAACGCTTCCAAGACGTCTAGACCCTGAACCCAATGGGTGATCCGAGTGCCCGACCAGGTCCTGACACGACCAACTTTCCTGTACCGCATCGCTGGGGTGCAGCCCTGAGAAGCGTCAGCTGATGCCTCTAGGGTTCTGAGGTTCAAGGCCTTCGGTTCTGCGGGTGTACGGTTAATCGCCCGTAGTTTGGCTCGGTCCCTGCTGGGTTCTGCGTAGCGACATGTAGCTTCATAGGCCCACAGATGACGCAGGTAGCAAACGACTCTAGACCCGACTTCCCATGAGCCTCCGAATGGTCCTGCCAAGGCCCCTCCAAAGAGCTGGCTGTTGCCGGCGCAGCCGGAAGGTGGGTTTGAGGTTTCTGGTTTTCACCCAACGGCCTTAACAATTCGAATAGGATTTGGGGAATGTTTGTAGTATAGTTATGCAACAGAAGCGTTGTGACACTACGGTTCCTAATGTTCTGAGAAGCCAGGATTGGTTAATGCGACGCGAGGTGAGCGTGGCAAGCACATCCAGCCTTTCCGCAAAATCCGTTTTGGCGCAGAGCACATGTTTGGGCGGTATTTCCGCGGACCTGCATGCAGGGGCGCGTGGTTCATTGTAAATTCGAAACGCTCGCGTTGGCAGTGGTGATCCTGGTTGTCTTGGGCGTAGTGGTGGCAGCGGCCATCGTGGTGGTCCTGGTCGTCGTGGTGCTTTTCATGGTGCTGGTCGTCTGGCCGTGGGGGTCGTCTGGTGGTCGTAGTGACTGTGCTGATAGCTTCGCGATGTACCTGTTGTGTGATGTCTCACTGATTTGGGGTATGCGCTTGGCATAACCAGATTTGCAGGCGTTTTCGGCTTTGGGTTTTTGTTCTGGTTTTTAGCGTTTGGGTTTTAGCATCATAAGTTTTCCAACCCGACGAATTACACGCATCCTCGGGTGAAGGCGTTTAGGGTGTAGGACACGTTCAGGCTGGCGGGCTTTAGCAGTTCGCGGTCCAGGCTGCACGTTTTAGGACTTCAGTGTTTCTGGATTTGGATTAAGGTTTAGTGGTTTGGGGGAGGTTGAAGAGTAGGTTTTTGCTGAGATTTTAACTGGTAAGCCTTGTTGGGACGGTTTGCATTCTGTGCGTTTATGTTTGTTTCGATAGACTGAAAAAGGTTGATTATTTCGTGCTGTATCAATTTTCTGGTATGTCTTCTCTGTTAGGGCTGTATGTCACAAAATACGTCGCAGGTTGGGCTCTGGTGGCTATTCCCTCTGTACTCTGTGCTGTATCCCGTCAGAGTTGTACGACGCTCCTGGTACACATCGCTTTGCCAAGCTCCTGGAGTACACGGAAGGCCCTTTCACGGCGCGGTGCGACCTGCCGCCGGATGTTGTGGTTTGTGTCTCAGTTCGTGGACTCATACGGATGAACCAGGCAGTCACAGAACAATGGCCCAACACGGCCCAACTCTAAAGCATCCCAACATCAACAACGATCGTCATGATAATGCAAGTATCACTGACGACATAAAGGAATCTTGTCACGATATAGCTGTACTAGCACTTACTAGCAGCAGTCGTGGCGCAATTGCAATGGAAACAAGTCCATGTTTGTCGTAAGAGCAATACATGGCAGAAGTACCACTAGTAGCCCTGCGAATCGTCACCAACACCGCCGCCTCTGCCACAGCAGCAGCAGCAGCAGCAACACGATTATTCATGCATTTTGTACTCATTGTAGTAGTTCTTGAGCCGCCATTGAACAGCGACTTACTACGACTCATCGACGACTATGGCTGCAACACTCTGACTAATGTCCGCGGCCATAACAACATCAGCAGCGGACCCTACACTCCTGCATTCTTGACCCGGTACCTTAAAGCCCCAAGCCCCAAACCCGAAACCCGTAAACGTTTACAGCCTAGGAGATGATCGGCCGAAAGCTCTTCGTCACCTACTCGCCGAATTGCAAGCAGTTTCCCTCAGAAGGCAACGATGTCCGAGAGCCTCCCGGGTTCAGGGGTTGAGGTATAGCGGGTATAGGCTTAGGCTTAGGGATTGGGGATTTAGGGATCAGGGTTTAGGGTCCGGGTTTCAGGGGGGCATGGATGGATTCCTTTGCAAGCATCAGTGGGGATGAGTCTGGGGGTCCGCCCAGCTGCCCAGTTCGGACTCTGCGACTAGAAAGGTGAGGTTCTGCTGAAATGGCACCGGTCATGGCTTTCACAACGGTCCTTCAAGCAGTCACGGATGTAACTCTTGCACCGAGCAGGCCACATGATCCAGCTCGTAATTGCGCCGACCATCCGGCGAATTTGGCCACTGGAGGCGGTTTCTCATAATAAGTGTATAGTATATAGTATATCTGTATATACAATGTAGAGTCGAGTAAATAATATATAATATAATGCCAATCGCCGTCTTGTTCGGAATTCGCTTGGCATCGCAGTCTTTGCCTCGAGAAGGTGATCGTTGATGCGCTGCGGCCGGCTCGCATCACTGCCTTTGGTGCAGGCCAACATTCTGAAGCCTCTGACCTCTTGAGCCTGCTTGATCTCTGCAAGCCCAGCCTTAAGTCCAAGCCTCCTAGTACAAAAGGGCGGAAGCATTGTGGCCCCGCAAGTTGTACTAAACATCAATCGCTTAATTCAAGCTAGCGAAAAGCAGCGAATCCCCAAACCTAGCGTCCCGGACTGTTCGAAACCCTACAACTCCCAACTCCCGCTGCAAAAGACCCTGAGCCGCACGCCAAAGCCCTCGAGTTACCAGGCTTCCTCGGCCTACCAGAATTGCGGCTGCGCATGGCCGGCCGATTGGCCACTGGTCTCCAGGTGCGCCGCTCGTGTTACGGGCATAGACTTCTGATCAGCTGTAGCTGTAGAAGACTGCGGTAGCAAGCCACCACTACATGCAAGCACTGGTTATCGTTTTAATCTTGGCAGCACGAAACAGTGTTTATTATACAGTAGTCACAACAGTAGGTAACAAATTGCTTAGCTGAGTAGAAGACAAAAACTGCCATGACAACAGCCATGATAAGAATATGCTGCCAACAGTGCTAGCAGGCAGACTCCGATGTAAGCATGACGGTATTTATGAGTAGTAGGAACAGAATCGTGAGTGTATTGGGCCGATGTAACTGTAACGTCTGCATTCGAAGTGTCAAGTTTGGTTCGCACAATCTGTACAGAACCGGAAGTTCTGCTCAAAAAGAACAGTACCACTGTGTCCTGTATTGTGATCTGGGGACTAATCAGTTATTACAACTAATCACAGCGGCCATGAGGCCCTTGAACGATGAACTGCCAGTGACAATCAGGAAGTGGCAGCAACATGGCCGTGGTAGAAACGGACAGTAGGCTAGTCTTGAGTAATATGGTCATGCAGACACAGAGAGATCTCTGGCATGTTCGTCCTGTCCACGACTGCACATAAATCGCAATCGCAAGACGGTGGCATGTGAGTAAGTCGTCATCAGCATCAAAATCATCAGCACCATCACCAGCATCGTCGTCATCATCATCATCGTCGTCATCATCATCACCACCACCATCATCACCATCATCACCATCATCACCATCAGCACCATCATCACCATCATCACCATCATCACCATCATCACCATCATCACCATCATCACCATCATCACCATCATCCTCGTGCTGATCCTCATCCTCGTCCTCATCCTCATCATCCTCAGCATCCTCATCATCCTCATCCTCATCCTCGTCGTTGTCGTACATGTTTGTCGTGTGTAGCAGTAGCATCATGCATTCTTCCAGCTGCAACCTTACGGTCCCATAGCTGGAAATACAATTGACAATGCTGCACAGCATCTTTTCAGAGTTCCATTCGAGATATATACGCATTTCGCATGGTGTCAAGTCTGACGACATGCTGGGCTTTGGATGAAAAGATTTCGAGTCCAACGCAAGAGCCTGTTGAAGCACAAGCTCTGCGTTTGCAGGTGCACAACGACACGAGCCTGTCCTTCGTACCGCCGGGGGCCATACTGGTGCTACGAAACTCCAACGTTTCCCACGTTCCACTAAGCTTGAAGCTCCAAGTTCTGAGCCCGAAAACCCGAAAGGCTTTGGCCCCCAAAGCCCTTCAGACCCTCAGCCCTCTACCCGGTAGAGCGGTAGAGTCTACCGTGGCCAGAAGACCTAGTCCCGCAGCCCTCAGCCCTGCACCCCCCCACTCCGTGAGCCCTAACACCGCAACCCCTAACCCACCCCCCCTGGTGCTTCAACGGAGTCCTGAGGCCACAGCCGCCACAGCGGGCAGCAAGCATTCCCAGCGAGGTAGCGTGCTTTGTTGTCTCGTCTGCTTTGCGTTTGGCCCATCGTTTTGTTTACAGTCTTCTATCCGTTGAGGTTATGATTAGGAATTCAGGGATACATTGAATTTGAGTGTTAATGAAGGATGTATAGGGTTTAGGGTTTGCTTTGAGCTGTTGTTGTCGCTGTCGCAGATTCTGTCGCTGTGGTTGCTGGTGATGAAGAGGAAGAAGATGCTTACTAGACGGGTTTGTTTTGTTTAATATGTCCGATTGGCCCAAGTGTAGCCTAGAAGATTCCCAAAGGGACACCGGGCATCAGACCAGCAGCAGAAGCGTGCGCAAGCTTGATGACAGGCTTTCTTTGTTGAAGTCTCGCTGGATGGTGGTCGATTCTGGCTCAGCCGTGGCCTCAGCCCATACTGTATGGCAATTGCTCAGCACTAACCGAGCTCAGCTGCCCACGGATCTTGCACAGCCTGTGCGCTTTGGAAGCGGCAGCCTTGCGACATACTCCCCTGCAAGTTCAAGATTGGGGCAGCGCTTTTTCGAAGGCGGTATTTGTGAAGAGTTAGTCACAGTTAGTCCTGCATCGGATTCCTGTGACGATCTGCGGGCTCTCAGCTTGCACAGGTTCTGCTGTGCAGTTGACCTACAAGAACATCCCGGCGGCTTGGCATGGAACTGGTTTTGGGATTTTGCGTTTTAGGTCAGGGTTCGAGTGCGCTTGGAGACATGGCCCACAGCAGAGTTTTTGAAGCTCGTCCGACCTGGTGTCCCTCAGCCTTACACATTCGTTGAACATTGGCAGATTGTGTCCAACGTCGATCCCATGCTCATCGTGCAGGGGGACCGTGCTGATGAGGGAGTGGAACATGATAACTATGACTTGGAACAGCTGCAGTTGACCAATCTGTCTCCATTCTCGATCAATCCAGTTCAAAATCGACTTCACAACTCCAAGTTCAAAACTGTGCAATCTTACGAGGCAGTCTTACCGCTTTGTCCACCACCACTGCTGCTACTACTACACCACTACTACTACTACTACTAGTA